AATAAGTTAATAAAAAGGAGAAGAGGCTGGGGTGTAGCTCAGTGGTAGGTAGGGTACCCCTGGGTTCAATCCCTAACCCCTAAATTTGTGACAGAGAGAGAGAGAGATGGAGATTGATTTGGTACAGAATGATTGAGAGAGAAAGAGGCCTGAGAGATGAGGGAAGACTGGGACATGATCACACCGTTGAAGAGCTCCTGCCTTTGGGTAAACTGCTTCCTATCCAGCCTCAGTCTCCCCATCTATAAAATGGGCTGATCAGCGCTCCCCGATCTGATCTGTGTGCTGTGGTCAGCTCAGTGGTCATCCAGGCGGCCCAGAGGCTGTTGCTTTGTCTTCCCTGTTCCACTCCCAATCACTGAGCACTGACCACGTGCCCAGCACAGTGCAGGGTGCATCAAGGGACAAAGAGGACAGCATTCTGCCCCTGGGAGCTGCCTTTTCTACATTATGGTCCTTGTTACTTTTGTCCTGTTACCGAGCCATAAAAACTGGGGTCTCCTGGAGCTGGGGCAGGAGGCTCCAGGCTGAGAAGGAGGAGCCTGAGACCAGCATTATGCAAGAACAGCACAGGGGTCCTGACTCCCGGGAAGAGGGGAACGGCCTGCCCCCTGCTGAAGCCCCAGTTGGTTTGCCTGCCTAGGGTCCCGTTTCTGCTGTCCCTGGCAGAGTGGTAAAGATCCCAGCCCCTGCTAGCACAGGACGGGGTGGAACAGCCAGGACCCCTCTCTCCTTCCTTGCCAGGAGAGGAGGGTAGACTCTCCAGGCTCAGCGGATCCCCAATTCACAGCCCAGAGGTGGTGGCCCCAGGCACGTCTCTGCCCATCAGAGTCTTGGAATTCCCAGGCCATCGCTCGCATTCAGAAATTCGATATATCCACTGGCTTTCTCCATGACCAAAGGATCTGGGGGTTCAAGGACAACCTCAGGGTTCCTCAGATAGTCCTAGGACTTCTGCATCTGACTATCTGAGACTCTGGAAACATGCGTGGAGTCCCTGGGCCCTGCTGGACACTGGGAGGTCTGGTCAGCCTCCTGAGGATCACAAGTTCAAGATCAGCCTCAGCGAGTTGCTGGAATTATAGGCATGTGCTGCCACAATCAGCTTTCCCCGTCAATCCTAGGACTTTCTGGGTTTAGGACTTCAGGCCTTCTGGGAGTCGGGTGCCCTGGGAATTGTGGGGTCACTGGTCTTGTTCCTAGTCTTCTGGGAACTGGGGATTTCCTGGGCATCAGGAATAATCTGGCCATCAGCAAAGGGCTCTTTGGCAGCTCCCAGGAGCATGGGAAATGAGGAGACCTTGAGCCTAGTGCCCAGGGCTCCCATAAACTTCTGGGTGCATCTGGAATCTGAAATCCAAGGCCATTAGTCCACCAGCCCTCCCTCTGCTAGGGTTTGGCCTTTGGCCTTGGACTCCAGACTAGGGATCTGCCTGCTCTGCTGCAGCTCCTGGAGTTAAGCCCTGAGGACAAGACTTTGCCGCCAGTGGGAGCCCAGGAAAGGGGAAACTCCTCTGATCCTGTTAGAACCGACTTGAGTCACGTTTTCCTAGAGGGGAACCTGATGCTCTCAGCGGGTGAGCGATTTCTCAGAGTCACTCAGAGAGTGTAGACCCAGGGCCTGATCCTGTTGTCGGTCTCCAGAATCTAACCCCAACCCTTGCCCTGAAAACGGGGTGATTGGAGACTTGAAGTATCACCACTTCGCCCACCGAGGCCACTGTCCCAGAGGAGCGCGTGCGTGAGCCTGCAGGAGCCGGCGGTGCCCTGCGGCTTGGGTCGGTGAAGGTCTCCCAAGCAGAACCCAAGAGCCTGCGGGGCTGCGGCGAGGCCGGGCGGAAGGATCCACTTAATAGAGATGAAGACACTGAGGTTTAGAGAGGTGAAGACAGCGGCTCAGGGATCTCAGCGAATCCGTGGCCACGCGGGATTCGCACCTGCGCCCGTCGGGCGATTCCTGCCGGGGGACAGGAGGGTCTTGATTTCCTGGGAATCAGGAATAATCTTGGAAGGGGTGGCTCTGTGGCCCCCGGGACCCTGAAAATGGCGCAGGCGGGCGGAGCTGGGAATTCTGAAGGATGTCACCGGGTCGGGCGGCATCCAGCATCCAGACAGGTCCCAGCCTGCGCATCCTCCAGGCAGACGCGACGCCCCGCGGAGCCAAGAGGGACGGGAAAGGCCGGCTTGGGGACCCGCAGCCCATCAGCACACGCCCTGCCCTCCAACCCAGGGGACCCTTTCCCGAGACTGTGGCGGGGGTAGCGACCACCTGGGGTGACTTTTGAGAGGCGGCACCACCTGGCGCCCGGTCGCTGCACGCTGGGCGTGGTGGCCGGGGTGGAGGAGGCTGCGAGCTGGGTCTGGCAGCCACGTTTCAGGAATATTTGTCCTGAGCCGCGCCTTGGAGGGAGGTGCCCTGGGCTTTGTGCCCAGATTCCCGGCGGGGCGGGGCCGAGCCCCCTGGCAATCATCAGTGACCTTGCCGCACTGACCCCAGCTGGTGGGGGACAGGCCAGCTGTTCCTGGCTTAGCCCGAATCTGATTGTGGCGTCCTTGGGGACAAGCGGTCCCAAGGACAAGCGGTGGATCCTGGCTCCACCTGCAACCTTCCCTTCGGGCTGGGCTGTGTCCCCACCCAGGAGCCTGGGCCCTGCTGAGACTCACAGCAGGAGACCCGGAAAGTCTGCCCCCAGTGCTTCTGTGCTGGTGTTAAAAGTTAACTTTTATTTGGCGTGACGAGACAAGCACACCTCGGGGTCTATAGCACTGGGAAATTGCATCCTAAAAATGACCTTGTGACACAGTCCACATACAATAAAAGTCATCCTTTTCTAGGTTCAGTTCCACGCATTTGGTAAACACAGCTGTGTGCTGCGCTCACACCGCACCCGCACCTGGCATCTCCCTTTCAGACCACAGGCTCATAGCGCCTGACAGTTTCTAATCAGTTCTGCATCTGTCTTCACAAACTAGTTCTTCCTGCTCTAAAACTAATTCTAAACTAAGTCTTCCTGCTCTAAAATTTAGAATTGTGGGCATGTGTGCCTATAATCACAGGAGACTGAGGCAAGAGGACCCCAAGTTAAAGGCGAGCCGGGGAACTTGGCAACACCCTGTCTCAAAACAAAAAGGACCAAGGATGTAAGCTCAGCGGTGGAGTTTCTCTGGGTTAAATCCTCAGTACAAAAAAAAAAAAAAAAAAAAAAAAAAAAAGTCTGATACAATCTGGGGCCTTCCCTTTCTTTCTAGTACATATTTTTAAAGCTATAAATTTTCCTCTGAAGACTGCTTTGGCTGAATTCTATTTGCTTTTTTTATTTTAGCTTTAAAATTTTATTGAAATTCAGGTTTAGAATTTAACAACTTAAGGGCTGGGTTGTGGCTCAGTGGTAGTGTACTTGCCTAGCATGTGTGAGACACTGGGTTCAATCCTCAGCACCGCATATAAATAAATAAAATAAAGGTCCACAAACAACTGTATAATACACACACACACACACACACATTAATTTAACGACAATACAGTATTATTTTGAATATATTCTAGGTAGTATTTTCACTTTCTTTACATGATTTCTGGCTAAACATTTTTGAAAAATACTTTTGATTGTAGATGGGCACACTACCTTTATTTTATTTTTTATGTGGTACTAAGGATCAAACCCAGTGCCTCACACATGTGAGGCAAGTGCTCTACCACTGAGCTACAGCCCCAGTCCAGTGGTTATAACTTTTAAGAACTTATACTTTCTAATTTTTCATGAGATGCCAACTACATACTTGTTAAAATCTTGGATATTTTTCCAATTGTTCTTATCTCAGTGTCAAAAGTTTAAGAAGTAGTGGGGCGTGGAACTCCAGGCTGTAATCCCAGTGACTCAGAAGGCTACGACAGGAAGATCTCAAGTTCAAAGTCAGCCTCAGAAATTTAGTGAGGCCCTGTCTCAAAATTTAAAAAAAAAATTTAAAAAGGTCTGGGGATATGGCTCAGTGGTAAAGCACTTCCGGATTCAATCCTCAGTATTTAAAAAAGTTTCATTTTATTTATTTATTTATTTTCTCTCTCTCCCTCTCGCTTTCTGGCACTGCTGGGGATTGAACCTGGGGCCTCATGCAGGCAGTCTACCATAGAGTTATATGCCCAACCTCATAATAATTTCCTTCGTGGCAAAATTAATACACTATCAAAATGCACAAATCTAGGCTGGGGTTGTGGCTCGAGTGCTTCTCTCACATGCATGAGGCCCTGGGTTCGATCCTCAGCACCTCATTAAAAAATAAAAATAAAGATATTGTGTCCATCTACAACGAAAAAAATAATTAAAAGAACTCTTTAAAAAATGCACGAATCTTCAGCGTACCTTCAGGGAGTTCTGGAAAATGCGTAAAACTTTGGAATCCAGGGCATAGAATGCCCCATCACCCAGGAAGTCGCCTCAGACACGCAGCAGTCTCCACGTAGTTGGAGTCACCCTAACCTGCAGAACGTCTCCCTCCCCTCCGGATCCCCTCCTTCCTGGCTCCTCTCCTGCCCCATACCTGTTTCTCCCCCAGGTCCCTGTCTCAGAGGTGGATCCTGATTTCCACTCAAGTCCCCTGACCTGTCACCCACCCACCCTTCACGCCTCCCCATGGTCTGGTTCTGTTCCAGCCCTGATGTCCCCTTCCCAGGTCCCTGCCTGCGTTCCCACTGGGTTCCTCAGAACCTGAACTCCAAGAGACAGCTAGGGGGATCCCTCTAAAGACCCCGTCTGGGCAGGGTGTGGTGGCACATGCCAGTAATCCCAGCAGCTCCAGGGGTGGGGGTGGGAGGGGATGATAAGGGAGGAGGATCAGCAGGTTCAAAGCCAGCCTCAGCCACCAAATCCCCAGAAACAGAGAGAGAGAACACACTGCTGCCAACACCTTGAGAGAAAGAATGGGTGACAGGTAGATGGGCGGTGGCCCGCCAGGCGGTCAGTTGGGGAGAGCTGAGGGAGGCGATGGAGCCACACAGAAGACACCCTCAGAGATTTTATTAGGGGTTAGGAAGGTGTCCTGGGGAATCCTTTTGTCTTTCCAGGAGTTTCGCCAAGAGTAGATCAGACCTGAACATAGGACAGGGTGACGTCGCCGTTGATCTCCAGCGTGTCCACTGTCTGGAAGGCGGGGAGGCGGTGGGAGTAGTCAAAGAGGTGCTGGCCGTTGTTGTAGACCTTGAAGCGATCCGTGCCACAGCGAATGGACAGCTGTGGGCAAGGGCCAGGCGTGAGGCCAGGGCAGGGCAGAGGCTCTGCCAGCAAGTGGGGAAGGGGACCCCAGACTTTTTTTTTTTTGTACTGTGGATTGAACCCAGGGGCACTTAACCTCCGAGCCACATCCCCAGCCCTTTTTATTTTTATTTATTTATTTTTCTGAGACAGGGTCTTGCTCAGTTGCTTAGGACCTGGCTAAATTGCTGAGTCTGTCTTCAAACACTTGGTCCTCCTGCCTCCGCCTCCCGAGCTGCCAGCAAGACCCCAGACTCACATCAAAGAACTGGCCAGGGCCAAACGGGTTGTGGGCGATCTTCCTCTCCTCAGAGCCCCAGGAGCCTCTCACACAGGTGTTCCTGACCACGGCGCCCTCACCCATGCGGGGGTTAATGTGCAGAGCCAGGTCCCCCGAGGACCCCACCTTGAAGTTAATGGCAAAGCTGAGGACAGAGAAGGAGTGTCAGATGGGTCTCCAAGGAGGAGGAATGGGTGCCTGGACTCCTGGGTCCCCGAGGGAGGAGGGCTGGGGTCCCCCTGGACCTAGGCTCTGTACCTCTTGGCCGTGGGGAGTACGTAGCCCTTGATTATGATGGTTCTCCGGGCCGTCAGCCCCCCATGCAGCTTCGTTGTGAATGGCACAGGCTGTGGGAGGAGAGATGGGTCCCGTCCACAGGCAAGTCCCCAAAAGCCAGGTCCAAAGACACGTTTTCAGAGTGCAGCCCTCTTTGTTCTTGGGAGATGTCCCCAAGCAGGTTCCTGCACCCCCTCCCACCTCCAGTCTCAAGCACCCTCCACCCACCACAGAGCTGACCTCCGAGGCCCCCCACGGGTCAGCCCCTCCCCCCACCAGTCCCCCCCTCCCCCAGCCCACCCACCAGAGCCCCAAGCCCCTCAGGGTGCCATACCGGGTTGAAGGTAGGGGGTCCCATCATGGTCTGTGAACGTGAGGAGGCAGCCATGTTATTCCATGACAGTTGACAAATGCCACGACACCCTGCTGTGCACACATCCTTCTCCACCCTGGGTTAGTGGGACCGGCCACAGCCCCCCCAGTGCGCCCCCACTGTCCCCATCCCTCTGACGGTCCCACAGCCCGGTACTCACAGGCAGGCTGCCCAGGTGGTGATGATTGGGCCCGGGACCCTGCAGGGATGGGTGGGGAGGTAAGGGACCCCGGTCCTTCAGCCACCCAGACAGCTCCCTGGCTGCTCCTCTTCCGCCCCGGGGAGCCCTGGCCCCAGCAGGTACTTACATAGTGAGGTGGCAGGCCCATGGGTCCCTGTGGGTGCAGAGAGAGGAAGAGGAGATGATCAGGACCCCAAATTCAGGACAGAAGTTATCAAGGACGCCTGCCCCGGGCAGCCAAGGCCACCATGCAGGGGTCTCTGAAGTTCAAGGTCGGCCCCAGATGACTGCCCGTTTCCCCTGAGCCTCCCCCAGACCTTCAGGACCACGGCTGAGGACTCTGCTCCCTGTTTGCTGCCCAGGGTCCTCGGTCCCCAGTCCTGCCCTCAGCCCAGAGGCCGGATCTCACAGCCCAAGCACCTCGGGACCCCTGCCCCGGCCTCGCGAGCCACCCCATCACCCCATCTCCAGCCGCCATGGCCCCTCATCCACGTGCCCAGCCCTGGGCAGGCGGGGCCCTCGGGGCCCCCCGGAGCTCCCTGTCCCCCAGGCCAGGAGACCCCTCTGCCTAGACCGCCTTCCCCCCTCCCTCCTTGGTTTCCTCCCCCTTTTCTCTCATTGCCTCCTTTCTGCCTCGACCTCTGGTTGCAGCCCCTGTTCTGAAGCCTTTTAAAAATGGCCGCGCAGCTGTTTTCCTGTTGAAAACGAATCGGTGCTGCCCCGGGGAGAGGCACAGGAGGCAGGAGAGCCCCCGCAGGCCCTGCGCCTGTCACCCGCTCTGTGACCCTGGGCCCGTTACTAAAGCTCTCTGGGCCTCAGTTCCGCATCTCACCACCATGGGTCACTGGGCGGATTAAAGGGATGTGGCAGTGTCAGTGTGCCCTCCCCACCCTGTCCCTGGCCTCCTCATGGGTGACACAACCCAAAGTGAGATCAACAGTGAGTTCCTTCTTCCTGTGATTTGATCCTACATCTCTTGAGACCCCTGGAAACAAAATGTGCTTTTTCAACTGTTAAAAAAAAAAAAATTGTGCTTTTTTCTTTCTTCTTTTCTTTTTTTCTTTTCTTTTTGGCACTGGGAATGGAACCCAGGGTGCTTAACCACTGAGCCACATCCCCAGCCCTTTTTATTTTCTATTTTGAGATGGGATCTCACTAAGTTGCTTAGGGCCTCTCTAAGTTGCTGAGGCTGGCCTTAAACTTGCAATCCTCCTGCCTCGGCCTCCTGAGCTGCTTGTGCCACCATGCCCTTCTTCTGTGGCTGCCTGTGTGTTTTTGGACTCCATATTGGACGAGGAGAGCCCCCTGCTGCTGTGTGCAGCTGTTAACGTTCCTCCCATCTCTGGGTGATGGACCCTTGTGTACCCAGTCACCTGTTGGGGAACACGTGGGCAGCTCTGACTCTGGGGCTTGTTTCTTTGGAGGGTGCCGGGGATGGAACCCAGGCCTCGCGCTGGCTGGGCAAGCCTCTGCCCCTGAGCTGCCTCCCTAGCCCTGGGTTTTTGTAAATGGCGCTGCGGGGGTGGTGCTGGGGGTGCACGGTGGCCGCCCTTTGCCTACTGTTCACCGAGTGCCGTCCCTCGGCCATCGCAGTGTGGTGTGCCAGCGCTCCGAGGCTCGCCAGCTCTTTTCCAAGGACACTGTGTCTGCCGCGCTCCCAGCCACGTGGGAGGGCTGGCTGGGCCACCCGCCTGACCACAGAATGCTCCTGAGGGGCTGACGGGCATGGAATGGCAGCTCGTGGCTTTGATTGAGGTCCCCAGGTGACAAATGGCATTAAGCAACCTGTCGTGAATGTGCTTTCTGTTCACAAATTCTTATCTCACTTGCTGACTCCGTTTACACACCTTCTCCTCCAGGAAGCTGTTTCTTTGTGACCCTGTGACTAAGTCTTTCCTTTTCTCTCTCAGGTCCCCTGTGTGTCCTTTGCCCTGGCCCCGTCCCTCTGCCCGCGCCTCCCCACGGGGGTCCTGACCACTGGATGACGTCCCTGCCTGGCACAGAGCAGGCGCTTGGGGGGACAGTGGGGACAGATTAAGGAAGGAAAGAAGCAAAAAAGGGAGGGGCCAGCACGCACCTGATTTGGGGTGAACTGGCCCCCGAGAAAGTTGATTGACTGAAGATGCAGGTCGCCATTCACCTGCAGGTGGGTGACCATCTGCAGGGGCAGCCGGTGTCCAAATTCGTAGAAGGGGTTTCCATTGACCACCACCTGGAGCGGGGACAGGAGGGGTCAGCATGGGGACCTGGGGCAGGTAGGAGCAGGGAGCGGGAGGCAAGCTGGAGAGCCCGGGCCTCAGGGACCTTGGAGTCCAGGGGTCAGAGATCAAGCTGGGGTCAGAAGTCAGGTCAGGAGGGTCCAGAGAAGAGGGTTTAGCTGGAGATGGAGATCAGGAGAGGACTCGCCCGAGGCCTGGCTTTGGCACCAGCTGGGTAGGTTTAAGGTCTAGCTCTGACACGCCCTGGCTGTGTGACCTCTGAGCCTCTGTTTCCCCATCTGTGAATTGGGAACCTGCTCATATCTGAGCTGGTCGGGAGATGCAACCCGACGTGACAGGGTGTGTTGGAGGCAGGTGGAGACCGGGGGTCCGTTGCTCGGTGTAGCTCAGGCGTCCGGTTCCATCGTGATGCTAAGTGACAGGCACAGGGCCAGGATCCAGCTCCATGGGACTGGGCACTTCCCACATGCTAAGCCCTGGATGTGGTGACATCCACAAGGGACCTCAACAGCTCAAGGGATCCTTCCCATTGCCCAAAACGAAGGCTATAGGTGTAGAGTGACCAACTGGAACCTGAGCGTGGACAATCCTGGCCCAGATGCCGAGGTTAGGAATTTGGCTCCACGCCTGTAATCCCAGCAGCTTGGGAGGCTGAGGCAGGAGGATCGAAAGTTTGGGGCCAGCCTCAGCAAATCAGCAAGGCCCTGTGCAACTTAGTGTGATCCTGCCTTGAAATGAAAAAAATTAAAAGGGCCAGGGCTGGGGCTGGGGCTTAGTGGTAGAGGCTCGCCTAGCACATGGGAGGCCCTGGGTTCCAGGCTCAGCACCACATAGAATAAATAAATAAAGATATTGGGTCCAACTACAACTAAAAAAAATTAATATATTTTTTTAAAAAAAGGCTGGGGATGTGGCTCAGTGGTTATGCATTCCTGAGCTCAATCACCAGTACAGGGGGAAAAAAAGAAGAAAGAGAAGGAGGAGGAGGAGAAGGAGAGGAAGAAGAAATCTGGTGCTCAGACAAAGAGCCTGGGGCCTGGGGGTCTCCCACCACATCTGGTCCAGGAGAACACGCACAAGGAGTTTGGCCACAACAGAGGACCTGGTCAGAGGGCAGAGGCCAGGGATCCCTGCACAACCATTTGAGGTCACCCACCAGGTGCTCTAAGCCACACAACATGGTGAGTGAGAAAAGAAATGGAAGGCAGTGGCCCAGAGCTGTTGTGTACATACTTTAAATAAAAGACAAGCACACCTGCAATCCCAGCAAGGGAGAGGCTGAGGCAGGAGGATCACAAGTTCGAGGCCAGCCTCTTCAACTTTGTGAGGCCCTACGCCGCTTAATGAGGCCCTGTCTCAAAATAAAAGATAAAATAAAAAGGGCTGGGAACGTGGCTCAATGGTTAAGTGAACTTGGGTTCAATCCCTGATACCAAAACCAAAACAAAACAAAACCACCCCTGTGTGAGACTGATCAGCGGCAGGCACCCACCCTCTTTGGACCTGGATCAGACACATCGGAAAAACAACATTATGTGACGGCTGGAACAGGCAGGTGATATTAAGGAAGAACCTTCCCTTTGTAGGTGTGACAGTGGCATTGTGTCTATGCTCTTACAAATGGAGACATTTATGAATGAAATGACATAATGTCTGGGATCTGCTTTTAAATAACAGGGGAGGCAGAGTTGGTGGAAGAGGAGGAGACGCCCTTGCGAGGTGTGGGACACACCACTCGGCTTTCTGTGCCTGGGGCTTCCTTTCGTGTGTGTCCAGAGCACGGAGCAGACAGAGCGGAAGTCTGCATCTGCGAGCACTGGGAGCCCGAGGTGAAGAAGGCCGGCAGCAGCCAAGGGAGGAGAAGGAGGGAAGCAGCAAGAAGAGGTGGAATAGGCAGGAGGAGAAGGAGAGGAAAGGGAAAGGGAGGCAGGAAGGGGGAAGGAAGAGAGGGAAGAAAAGAAAGAAGGGAGAAAGGGAGCAGGGGGCGGTGGCACACGCCTGTAATCCCAGCACCTCGGGAGGCGGAGGCGGGAGGATCGGGATTCAAAGCCAGCCTCAGCAACACAGTGAGGCCCTAAGTAACTCAGGGAGACCCTGTCTCTAAATAAAACATAAAAAAGGGCTGGGGACGTGGCTCAGTGGTTAAGCCTCCTGGGTTCAATTCTGATACCAAATAAATAAAGAAAGAAACGGAAGAAGAAGGAGGCAGGGAGGCAGGGAGGAGGCTGGAGGGGGGGGGGAGGCCGAGGGAGGCGCCCAGCCAGACCTTGTAGTGTTCCGCCATGATCATGAACACCAGCTCAAAGGGGGCCCCCTTGCTGAAGGGCATGCTCCTCTTCCTCTCCTCGTTGCCCCAGCGGCCACCCTGCTGTGAGTTGAAGACCACCTTGTCCCAGCCATCGAAGCGGGGATTGAAGTGGAAGGCGATGTCCGCCCCCGGGTCCTGCCCCACAGCAAAGTTCACCTGGAACCTGGTGAGACACAAAGGGCTGATTCCCCAGAGGACACCTGCTGCCTGCAGGGACCCCTCCAGGGACCTCTGTCCTCACCCTCTCCCCACATTCTCTGCCCCGGGCACTACTGACCAAGCCAGGAGAGGAGGTCGTGACCTTGAGTTCCAGAGATGGACTCCCACAGCCGCCCCTTGGCTCGCTGCTCCTTTGAGACCACCTTCCCCACCCCTCCCAGTTTCAACTGTTTGCTCTGGGGACTCCTGCGGTCACAGCTGACATCCATTGGTTGGAGTTTCTCTGCTCCTTCCTGGACCCCGACAGTCCTTCCCCACCCATAGCCAGAGAAGCTGGGAATGCCCAGGTCAGGGCACCTTCCACACTGCCCATCACCAACCTTCAGAAGTTATTCCAACAGGGCAGGACCCAGCTGCCACAGGGCCTTTGCACTGGCAGTTCCCTCTCCTCTCTTCCTCCATTCCTCCCTCTCTCTCATCTTGGAGGTGGCAAAAAGCTCCTACAGGTGGGCCGCAGCACCGGCTCCCTTGCAGCCTAGCCTGGTGGGACGAGGTGGGGGTCCACTTACCGCTTCATCTTCTCATCGGCCACTCCTTGGATGTAGATGGACATTCCGATGCTGAGGCCGCCGGGGATGGGCTGGTTGTAGGGCAGAGTCTGGAGAATGGGCCAATGAGGGGCGTCAGAGGCCATGGGACAGTCGCAGCCCTTCCCCCTCACCGAAACCCCTTCTGGTCCCGCAAGCAGGGGACATGAAACTGGAGTGAGGAAACTGGGGGAAGAAGCCCAGAGCCAGCCGGAGCATCATGATGGGGGGCCTGATGGTTGGGGGTCCCCCACGGGTTGGAGTGTGGCTCAAAGGGCCTGGGGTGGGGCCTGGCTGGCATCTCACCGGGTTGTAGGTGGGCTGGTAGCCGGGTGCAGGGACAAAGGCCATCTTCAGAGGCTGCGCTGGTGGCTTGTGCTAGAGAGGAGCTAGAGGAGAGAGAAAGTGGCAGGTGGCAGGCAGTGGGTGGCCCTTATAGCAGAGGCAAAGGGAGTGGCAGGCAGGGAGGGCCACGAGGTCCTTCTCCCAGGGATCCCTGAGCACACACTGGCTTTCCTGGTGGACACTCGTCCCCACCTGCCCGGGCACAAAGAGGAAGTGCTTGTAGACTTCGGCCTCACCGGGGCCTTATCAGAGCCCATAAAACCCTGCCCAGACTCTGTTGGCAGAGGGAGGGTGGGACCAGGCAGCAGGGCCAGGGCAGGGCCGCAGGAGTGGCCTGGACAGCTGGGCGGTGGGAGCAGCCCGAGCTCCCGACTCTGTGGAAGGGTGGTGGCCCGAGCCCTGGCGCCCAGCAGGTCCCCGCAGTACGCTGCGTCCTGGGGACAGTGGGTGAGAGCCCACTCAGAGCCAGGGGTTCCTGGCCCCGGTCCTGCCTCCGCTACTCCTCGGCTATGCCGTCCCGGGTCCTTACCCTGGATTCGCCCCTTTTCCTGGGGCTAAAACAGAAGTGACAGTAGCAACTTCATAGATCCTTAAAAGGAATCGCTAAACTAATAAATGCCCAGAGCAGGCTTGGCATGCAGAGGGCGCACAATTAATGTTTGGTCTCGACACTCATTCCAGACATAAACCCAGGAGGCTGGGATTATATATGATAAGAAAACCCAGTGTGGGGCTGGGGCTCAGCCGTGGAGCACCCGCCCAGCCTGTGGGGCCCTGAGCTCCATCCCCCTATCACCAAAGATCTTTTTGTTTTTTAAACTTTTTTACAAAGAAAATCCAAAGTTTAAAGAAATGAGGCGGGCAGCACAGGCCCCAGCCAGATTCCAGCAGGGGGTCCCCTCCGCTGGGGAGTGAAAGGCACAGACAGTGGGCACAGTTCCCAACTGCAGGGAGGAGACCAGGGGTAGGTTCTTGGGGGGATTTCAGGCCCAGGGAACCCCACAACCTCGGCTCCCTCCTCCCGGGACGTCCTGTTGGCCCTGGCCACCCGCAGCTGCTGGTCACCGTTCCCGCGGGCCAGATCCCTAAACCACCTTCACCACTGCCCTCCCTGGAGCCCTGCCACCTGTCCTCTCCCAGTAAAGACACAGGTTCTTTATAATGTTTTATTGTCCAAAGAGCCAAGAGAAGGCCCTGGGCTTGAAATCGGTGTCGCAGGGCGATACACTGAGGGGCACTCGGAGACCGTCTCCATTCCGCTCTGCAGAGAGAAGCCGGACCCCAGGCGCCGCAGGCCGGGGACCCGAGGGCTCTCAGAGTTTGGAGAAGGTGACACTTTTCGCGTCCTTCTTCTCCATCATGGCCTGCACGGACTTGACGATGTCCTGGGTTTGCAGCATGCTCATGTTCCAGGTCGCCTGCACAGAGAGGGCCACCAATCAGAGGACAGGCACGCGCAGCCCGCGCCCCACCGGCTGCCCCGGCCTTACCATGTAGCTGAGGCCCTCGGCCACCGGGCGGTCGCGGGAGTAGAGCAGGTTGATCTTGGTGCTCTGCACGGCCACCGGGCTCTTGCTGGCAATCTCGGCCGCCAGGGCCAAAGCCAAGTCCAGCATGAGCTCCTTGTCCGGGAACATGCGGCTGCGACGAAGGGACAAGAGGGGTCGGGACAGGCAACTGGGGAAGGGCCGATGGGCTGTGGCCCTCACAGAGGACCCCAGTAAAAGGGCCCAAGGACAGGAGGGTGCTGGCCCCCAAAGGAAACAATCCTGCTGAGGACACACAGGGCCAGGCCCGGCGCTCCCGCACCCACCTGACCAGCCCACTGCTCAGGGCCTCGTCGGCCATCATCTTGCGGCAGGTGAAGGCCAGTTCGTTGACCAGGCTGCAAAAGAGAAGCGTGGGTCAGACACGGCTGTCATCTGGGAGATGCCCTGTGGTCCCCTCCCGGGGTCCCCTCACCGCACCCACCTCTGGTTCCCGATGACCTTGGGCAGTCGCTGCAGTGTCCCCACATCGGCAGCCAAGCCCACGTCCACTTCCTGGGGGGCACAGAGGTGTCAGGGTTCATTCTGCCAGGGGTGCTCCCCAGGACACCGCCATCAGGGGCTCCCCCAGGGCACCCAGGCAGGTGCCCTGATCCCTGCCCTCCAGGTCTTCCCTTTGCCACATCTTTCTCCAGAGCGACGCCCTTCCTGACCCCTTTACCACATCAGGGTCTCCATCCTGCCTCCCACCCTCTCCCGCAGGCCCCCAGCAGTGACCCCAGCCTCCCGCCTGTCCCCACACCCCACCTCCCCGGCTCCTGACCTCACCGGGACCGCCTGCCCCTGGCTTCCTCATGGCCCAGCCTGCTTCGGAAGGTTCAGTTCGGACCCTCTTCCCAGAGGCCCTGAGGGCAGGCTCCCTGGCCCACCCTGGCCCTGTTCTGCTCGGGCTCACTGCCCAGTGGTGTGCAGGACCCCGGAGGCAGGAGCTTAGGGGTAACTCACCTTCACCTGGAATACAGCGTCCTGGGTACAGTAGCGGATGTCACAGGCGGTGATGAGGTCCACACCTGGGGGGGCAGGGAAACTGAACATCACCCTGCGGGTCGTGGGGTGGCTTCTGGGGGCACGAGCCAGCCAGCGTGGGCACCCTGGCAGCAGGTGACGGCAGGAGACCAGGCTCACCTGCTCCAATACAGTTCCCGTGGATGGCAGCGATCACGGGCTTGGGGCACTGGAAGGGAATGGGAGGGTCAGGGTCAGGGTGGGCCACAGAGAGAGGCCACAGAGGATGCCCTCCAGCCCCCAGAGTCACCTTCTCAATGACACTGAAGGTTTCTTGGAATCTGCTGATGAGGTCACGCAGGTACCAGCTGATGCGGGCCACATCGTCCCCTTCAGGCTGCAGGAGGTTTGAAGCCATGTCCATGAGGTCAATACCTGAAGAGGAGGCAGGCAGAGGCTCGCCCAGCCCACCAGGACCCACCCACCACCTGGCCGGGGCCAGAACCCAGACACCATGGGTGGGAACCCCCAAATCAGCACAGTACAGAAGGCAAGTCCCACAGACTCCCAGGGGATGGCCTGTGAGCGTGAGCTGAACAAAGACTGCCACCAAGGCACTGCTGAGTCTGTTCAGCCACCCAGTGAGGTGGACCCTAGGACGCACCCAGTTTGCTGGTGGTAAACTGAGGCACAGAGAGGTGGCACACTCACCTAAAGTCCCACCAGCTTGTGAGCAGAACTGAGGTTTTGGTTGTGTGCAGTGGCACACGCCTGTAATCCCAGTGACTCAGGAGGCTGAGGCAGGAGGATCACCAAGTTCACGGCCAGCCTCAGCAACCAAATGAGGCCCAAGCAACTCAGTGAGACGCTGTCTCAAAATTTTTAAAAGGGGAGAAGCTGGGACGTGGTTCAGTAGTTAAGCACCCCCGAGTTCAACCCCTGGGACCACACAGCTGGCTCCAGAAGACTCATTTCCTTCTTATCCCAGGTGGGCACGGACTCAAGTTTTATGGCAAAATTGAGTCCATGGTGGTGATCTTGCCTCAGAAGGCAAGACCCAGATGGAGCAGATATTATGGCTCCCATTCAAGATAATCCTGAGTTTGACTTGTGTCCCCCCAGCCATCCTCTCTCACTCTACTCCTGGTCCCCCGTTCCCACCTGTCCTCAGCTGGTCCCCACACACAGCCTGTGAAGCCTGGAGTTAGGTTAGAACCCCCTCTTCTTCCCTTCCATCCCACTTTCTTAGAATAAAACACCAAGTCCTCACCGGGGGTACAGCTAAGTAGTACAGCACCTGACCTGCACGCTCTAGGCTACGGGTTCCACCCCCAAGACTGCAAAAAACACCTACGGGGGTGCACACCTGTAATCTCAGCAACTCAGGAGGCTGAGGCAGGAGAGCTGCAAGTTCAAGGCCAGCCTCAGCAACTTAGTGAGACCCTACCTCAAAATAAAAAGTAAAAAGGACTGGAAATGTGGTTCAGTGGTTAAGCACCTCTGGGTAAAGAAGGGGTTCAGTGGGCAAGCACCCTGCACCCAAAATAACAACAATAAAGCCTTCTGAAGGCAGATGGGGCTACAAGGTCGTGGAGATGGAGCCCCAGAGGCCCGAGCGGAAGCTGGACGGCAGCGGCGTCAGTCACCACTGCTGTGTGTCCGTTTCAGCAGAGGTCATAGCATCTGAGCAGCCTGCTGGCGACTCGGGCTCCCACACTACATCTGAGGAGCCTGAATGACTCACCAAGAGCTAGGACAAGCCCAGTATGACGGCCTCTTGCGACACCACCTTCCACTGTGTGTGTGTGCGTGTGTGTGTGTGTGTGCGTGTGTGAGTGTGACTAGGGACTTTACACACGGCAATCTTCCACAGAGTGGCAACTCCAACCCTCATTTTTATTTTGAGGCATGGTCATGCTAAGTGGCCAAGGCTGGCCTCAAATGCGCCATCCTCCTGCCTCAGTCTCCCAAGTAGCTGGGACCACAGTTGTGCCCCGCTTCTCCCTAGTTCTTCTGGTTTAACTGCCCTGGCCCTGCAGAGGCTGGCGATTGCTACTGCTTGAAATAAAGGGCCCAGGTGTTGGGACCAAGTGTCCCCCTCCAAAGCAAGAACGCTGCAGGTGAGTCGCTGGGAACTTCTAAACATCCTTCATAACCCTGCTGTCACTCACCCCCGTGAAGCCACAGCAATAAACAGGTCGCAGTGTTAACGCTGGGCACATAGGAATGTTCTGCACGTCAACTTCTTTCATTTAATCTTCATAAACCCAGTGAGATTGGTCTGGTGGGATATCCATATTCTTCAGATGAGGAGCCAGCAGCAGAGAAGCGAGGGGACAATGACAAGTGGTAGAAGTGGGGCTGCCTAATGCCAGAGCCTTTTCTTTTTTCTTCTGATTTTAGGGATGGAACCCAGGGCCTAATCTGTGCTAATAACATACTCTCCCTCTGTCATACCCGCTCCCCTGAGCCCTTGCTTTTAACCAGCACCACAGTCACCTGGGTCACAGTTGCAGTGGTTAAGATCAAGGATTCTGCTGGGTGTGGTGATGCATGCCTGTGATCCCAGGGACTCAGGAGGCTGAGGCAGGAGGATTGCAAGTTTGAGGTCAGCCTCAGCAACTCAGTGAGACCCTGTCTCTAAATAAAATATAAAATGGGGCTGGGAAGATGGCTTAGGGGTTGAGTGTCCCTGAGTTCAATCCCCAGTACCAACAACAACAACAACAAAAAATCAAAAGGACTGGGACTGTAGCTCAGGGTAGAGCATTCTTGAGTTCAATCCTGGGGGAGGCAGGGGCGGAGAATAGGACCTTGGATCACAAGGTCCATTCTATCATTGGATCACTGTGACCCTGAATTTCTTCTTCTGACCTTCAAGGGCTTGCTGTTAAACACAGGTCAAGAGATAGCCACAATCAGCCAGGAGTTGAAAGATGAGACCCAGAATGAAACCTCATCTTTTTTTTTTTTTGGCACAAGGTGACTGACCAATTTTTTGTTTTTGTTTTTTGTTTTTAGTACCAGGGATTGAACTCAGGGGTACTCAACCACTGAGCCAGATCCCCAGCCCTTTTTAAAAATACTTTATTTAGAGATAGGGTCCATTAGGTTCCTTAGGGCCTCAATAAATTGCTGAGGCTGGCCTTGAACTTGTACTCCTCCTGCCTCAGCCTCCCAAGTCAGTGAGATTACAGGTGTACACCACAATACCTGGTTTTCCCCCCTGCCCTACAATACCAGGGATTGTATCCAGGGGTGTTCTACCACTAAGCAATATCCCCAGC